TGAAATCAGTTGTTTTTAAAATACTTATTTGTTTGATAATCTTAACAATGCTTATTTGCCTTTAAAATATTTTATCTTTCTCTGATATTTGCCTTTAGACTTTAAAAACGAGTGTGTGCATAAACACTCTGGTAGCATTTCCTTTCTAGAGGTGTGGTATATCAGCTCCAATCTACCCAAAGAAACACAATTCTGATGTTAACCAAGAAACAGGGTCCCTACAGCACTCTGACTACATTGCTTGATGCTTCTTACATGCTATACTGTCAGGTGTGCTTTATGTATTTATAATCCTGGCTAGACTACGAACTCCCTACAGGTAAGAACTACTAATGTTCTATTTGGGAGTTTAACAGCATCTAGATTTTGTTGGGAAACAAACATAGAAATTTCTTTTATGGCACATAGTTTCATATCAAGTTGAATATAATAATACAATCTAACATTTATTGAACATTTACTTTGTGCTAGACTTGTGCTAAGCACTATAAATTATTCAATATAATATTTTGTTTAATTAATCACCTATGAGATAGAATATAAAGGTTAATGCAGAACACAATTTTTATTATGATGAGTTTATAATATGGCACTAGCACCACATAACTAGGAACTAGCACTGTAAGTTGCTCTATTTACAGATAACAAAGGGTGACAAATGTGATATGCAGTGTTAATAATTACTGTTTATTTGGATTGGGAAAAGAAAAGGTATTCCTTTTGAATAAAAGCTAGATGTAAAAAAAAAAAATGCTAAATTAGTGATTTAAGTCTTAGAGCTAAAATTTTATATCTATTGTGGGGAAAAAAGTTCCTATAGAAAAAGAGAACAAATTATCTTCAAATCCTTTAATTCCCTTGAAATCATGGTACATAATATTTTTAATAACTTGATATTTATCAGGGATGTAATTATCTCATCACAGTAGAACTTTGGATTTTTAAAAAGATCTTCATTTAAAAAGCTTGCCTTCTGGGGCTGGCCCATGGCTCACTTGGGAGAGTGTGGTGCTGATAACACCAAGGCCACGGGTTCAGATCCCTATATAGGGATGGCCGGTTAGCTCACTTGGGAGAATGTGGTGCTGACACCACCAAGTCAAGGGTTAAGATCCCCTTACCAGTCATCTTTAAAAAAAAGTTTGCCTTCTTCTTGTTTTTCTCTGGTGAACTCTAAGTTCCATGCTAGTAAGATCCTGCCTGTCCTCTTCGTAGCTGTATGTTGAGAACACAGCAGAGGACACGTCACTTAGGAGCTCCATAAATCCATAATTCTAAAGTGTTTTAATGGTTATTGCCAAAACTATAAACTGAAAGACTAGAAGTGTGAGTTCGTATCGTAATTCCATTATCTATCAGGTGGGACGCACCGATGTGACTAGTGTTAGTCATGTGCAACTTCAAATGCTCTTAGCTTTCTTTCCCTTTACAGTGATTTTGTGTGACCCACTATCAGGTGTATAGCACTGCCCTTGAAATTGCAATTTAAAGAGATTCCATCTCCTGTAACCAAGATGCATCCAAATGAATCCTGTTTTCATCAGATAAAATTAACTAAATCCTCCTCAAAGTCCTCCAGAGCTTGTTGCCTAAGAGGGACTGCTGAGTTCAGGTTCAAAATAGTCAGAGATCTTCAAGGTGAAGCTTGAAGGTGCTAAGCCGGTCATACAGACTGCCAGTCAAGAAAGCTCTACCATGCAATGAAAAGAATATAGTATATTGCCTTACTATTACTACTTGAAGGGTAATGATGATCTGAGATGGCCACATTTCTAAGGAGAAACAGAGTTCTACTAAGTAATCTTTATGCCTTCAAAGATGGGAAGCATTTCTTATAGCCAATGTACTACCATTTCCTAGGTGTGAAGCTACTGAACTCACTGCAAATCAAAATACAACATTCTAGAAAGCTCAGTCTAGTGGGTAGTAGCTAGGGGAAAAAAAGTGATAATAATGAAAAACACTTTGAAAAACTAGCTCTTGAAATTCCCTCACAGTGTGTTAAACCTAGGTTTTTGTTTGTACCGGAGTTGCTGAACTGCAAAATCCAAGGGCTCAGTCTCCAAGATTGCCCTCACCTCTGACATCAATGGCAAGTTTAGGGGAGTTCCCAAAACCACCCCTCGGTTCAATTAATTCACTAAACGAACTCATAGAACTCACTGAAAACTATTAAACTCACAGTTATGGCTTATTATAGGGAAATGATAGACAAAAATCAGCAAAACGAAGAGATGCACAGGACAGAGCCTGGGAGGCTCCAATTGCAAAGCTTCTATCACCCTCAGGACCTGTTACCCTCTTGGTATCAATGTGTGACAATACGCATGTAGTATTGTTAACCAGGGAAGCTGACCAGAGCTTCCATGTTCAGAGTTTTACTGATGCCTCATTACATAGCCTGACTGGAGTGAGTGACTGCCTGTGTGATTAAACTCAGTCTTTGGCACCCCCTCCACAGAGGTCCTATTGATACCACAAGGCCCCAGGGGCCCACCAAGCATAATAATTTCTGTCACTTGGGAAATTCCAAGGGTTTGGACGTTACCTCCCAGGAGCCTGGTACAAAGTCCAGACCTCTTGTTGGGCAAGGTCAAATCCTTACTATACAGTTTGGTCAGATGAGAGTAGGATCTTATAAAGAATAATATTCTTTAATAGGTAAGAAAGGATGATGCCATTAAGGTTCTGTTCAAAACTAAGTCTGACCTACATGTCTGCATTGTCTTGTAGAATGTAAGTTATCATGACATTTATTTTTGTGCTCCAGGTGGCCTCAGTCTAGTGCAGGCTGAATGACATGAATGCTGGTCAGGGCTTTAAGAGAGAACTTCTTCTCATCTAAAACCACACTAATCTCTCTCTAAAAAATCTAGCTTCTACCAATTTTCCAATCTGCTAAACTCATAACTGTGGTTTTCTTTTGTCCCCTCTATCCAAATGTTACAAGCTGAACTGAGTCCCACCCAAAATTCATATGTTGAAGTCCTAATGTCCAGTACCACAGAATGGAACTGTATTTGGAGAGACCATCCATAAAGAAGTAATTAAGTCAAATGTGGTCATAAAGGTGGGCTTTAGTCCAATATGACTGGTGTCCTTATAAGAAAAGTAGATTAGGACACAGACACACACAGAGGAAAGACCATGTGAAGACACAGGGAGAAGACAGTCATCTACAAGTCAAAGAGAAAGGCCTTGGAAGAAACCAACCCTGTTAACACCTTGTTCTCAAATTTCCAGCCTCCAGAACTGTGGTACTTTGCAGCCCTGGAAAACTAATACACTGAACAATCACTAATTCAAGTCTAATCTTTCAATGACTTTTTCACACGAATCTCTTTCTTTTCCTTCACTCATAGAGGCCTCCCCTCTGGTACTTCTGGTTTTTGTTTCTCAAGCCTCCAGCCAAACCTCACATCCACCGTCAGATTACTACTCTACAGGAGCACAGAAACCAGGGCACTTGCTTGGTCAAACACCTCACCAGGACCTCTTGCTAAATGAAGACCAAAAGTCTTATTAGCACAGCAGCTAATGACCCTACTGACATGTCCAGTTTTACCTTGCACTTGCCTCTCTGAGTCAAGCCACTGCTCTTAACATGTCACCTTACCAACTACAGAGCATGCTTTTCCTCCTGAATATCTTTCCCTTCTACCTACTCAATACTCTTCTTCAAGCTTCAACTAAAACATCATCATCTTTATGAAGGTTTCATAGATCATTCTAGTCAGAATGGATCACTGATGTATCTTAAATTTTAGTTATTTTTATAGTTATTATCTTATAATGAAGAAATACCCAGGGAGCCAAGTCAAAGGCTCTCATATTATACCTGGGAGCCAACCCAGGTTCTCATATTATAGAGAAAAAAAGATTTTTAAAATGTTGCTTTATCATTAGGAGGAAGGATAAATACATAACTTGAAAAAATCTGTGTAGAGTAATTTTAAATCAAATCTATGCTCAATATTGTATCTAAATTTTTAAGATCGCACATTAACCTTTAAGAATGAGATTTGTGGCCCATTCTTAGAGGGTCTCTGCTGCCCCACAGGAGATATTTCGCTAAGGAATACTGAAGGTTTTAATCTGTTTAAATAAGCCTCAAATTACCTTTTAAAAAAACATTTTAATCAACATTAAAATGAAACTAATATCCATTACCACACAAATTGTACTATAGCAGAAAGTAATAACTTCATCTTGGGGCTTAATCATTTTATCAAATTCCTATAAACATGTGCAAAGAAGGCGGTCAGGGCCCAACACAATCTTTCAACTAAAGCTGTCACAACATCGTTTTTTGCTTCACTAATTTGCACATGTGCTACTAACAGGGGTTACACAATAGAAGTATTTATATACACAGGAAAATTCTGAATGATGTATTCTTACTTAATGTAAGAACTGGCAGCAAAGGGAAAATACAAGGCTATGGGTCATGGACACTTTGATCCATCAATTACAGAACATTCACTTAAACACTCCAAGGATTAATAGAGGTAGCAATTTAACATCACCTTCATAATCAAGGGCAAGGTAAAGTCTATGATTTAAATGTTTTCGAGGTACATGTGAAGAAACGTAAACAGCTTAAACATGAGAAAGCTGGGTATTCAAATTTGGACATGCCCATCATTTCACTGTACAAAAGTGAATGGTTTCTATGTTTCCACTGATAGAGGTAGCAATTTAACATCACCTTTATACTCAAGGGCAATCTATCTTACATGTTATTCCAAATGAAAATTCTATTGCCATTGCTTTCAATTTCCCCTACTTCATAAAATAGATTAAGTTACAACAGGCTTTCATCAAATGCCCTTTTGTTGCATCTAAATTCCAGGACAGCAGATAACATGGCCTCATTTCAACCACCAAAAAACACTTCCTAGTATTCTAGAGTGCTACATAACAAACTATCTTCTGTTCAAAAAGCAATAAAATTGTGCTTTCAAGAACAGTAAACAATTATAATACTATTACGAACTTACTTGAACTTTGCTTCCACTTCTTCAGCAGCTTTCTGATATTGCTCAGTGGTTACTTTGTAGAACTCTGCACTCTGTGGACAAAGATTGATAGGACAGTTTTCACTACCCAAGAAGACAAAATATGTGGAAGATATACGATTTCAAAAAATACATAAAACCCTTAGCCACTCAAGCAGTAGAAGCATCTTTTGCATAAGTGACATGGATACTTATAAAAATACATGTAAAGCTTTTTGCATTTAAGTAACAGTAGAATTGGTAGTATATAGATTGAATTACAGAGTAAACGTTCATAGTTACAATTCATCATTATTTGGTCCTTGAGAAAATTCCTAACATATTTTTCAAAGATTATTTAGATATCCTTTACTTGGACTCTACCACTGCAGACCAAAGGATGCTTGAGATCAAATAATAAAATTCACACACATTCAAATTTGCCTATTAGCCCAATAGTGCTCTGACTAGATATTAAAGGATTATTTTTTTCTACACAACATTTCTGTCCTCGAGATGAATTATTTATAGAGTAAAATGTGTTCCATTACCTCCACATGAGCACAGGAGGATCAACATTTGTAACAAATTAATCAATAGAAACAAGGGAGTATATTTAGGTAATTTTAGTACAAAAAAATGTTTCCACTATTACATGAATGAGTACATAAACAACATAAACCAAGTTGCAATAGCAAAGTAATACTTTTCCTAAGGCAGCAAAATTTTAAAATATCCATTTTGATGAGCTACCTTGAAACCAGTCTGACTGCAGGGGGTGGCCTAAATGACCCCACGAACCCCCGGACTCAATAAAATATCCTGCAAAATACAATGCAGCAAAAAAGAACACAACACAATACAGTGGTCTATTGTGCACCTTCATTCCTCAATCACTCAATTTCACATGCATGGTTTAGGGTAGTTTATTTTTTAATAAATCATTGTTGGTTGGTGAGAAAATGAAAATGAAATGCTCTTCACACCAGAGACCCCTTTGCATTTAACAATCTGGGTTGCCCAATGACATTCACATCCAGGTTTCTTGGATGTAGATAAAATCAATACGTATGTGATTAGATAGCAGACTCAGGGTGGCTGGAGCCATGGACAGGTCACCATTTGAGATGATGAATGGCTTTCTATCAACCTATAGTCCCCTACGATGCTAACATTTACTATAATCTTATTTGGGCTACAATTTATCTTTCTTCCACCTGATCAATAAAGATGAACAGAACAGTTGTAAAGATCGATTGTAATTTTTTATCATTTTCAAGCACAAAGGTGCATTTCTGACATGAAGACAATATTCTAAGTGTACTGCTTCTGCATTTTTAAAAATTGCGATTTGAGTGATCAACTGCACTGGTCTATATGATGATAAGTTTTAATTCATCTGTAGGCCATTTGTCTTCTCAGATATTTTAACTTTAGCTTATGTCACCTTTCTGTCTGTTTTATTTATAAGAGTTTCTTTCCTATAAAATACACACCAGTCACAACATGCTCTTTTGAAATGTTTGGTTTAAGCTTTTCTTTGAACCCTTCTAACACAGGAGGAGGCAAAAAAGCAGTTACTAATCTATCACTAACAATGATGAGACACTCTCAAATTATTATTATGAACTGTTAAGCAGGCGCAATGTCACTGAATTATCTATTAAAATGCTGACAAAGCAATAATGTTTTGATTAATACTTTCATTTATTTTAAGTACTGAACTTGTAATATCTGAATAGCGATAGGACTAGGTTGAAAGATCTGGTTTCTGTTTCCGTTCTGTGGCCTTGAGCAGGTCTTACAACCTCCTCCCGCCAGCTTCTTTTCAAATGTTCCTAACCTGTAAAATATAGATAATAATATTAACCCTGCCTATCTCTGCCAAAGCTGTTGAAGAAATCAAATAAGACAGGCAAGAGAGCTGTGAAACCTGTTACATGATTTTGCAGCGTAAGATTAACATCCAAATAAAATAATTTTGGAGGAAAATAACTAATTTGGGTAATTCCATTCTGGATACAAATTCTAAATGATGAAAAGTAAATATTAAGCTTTCTAACAAGAATGATGCACGAAAGCAAGAGTTCTACCACAATACAAATCAGTGAGCTCCTCTTTGCTTTCTAATACCAAATGCAGTTAAAATTATTACTGATTTTTTGTCAAACTTTCCCCTAGGATATTAAACACAAAAAACCTGTTCCTGCATTGCCTGCAAACTTAGTACATGATTCTCAAATTAAAGCTTTAGGGTTTTATTTACCTCAGTGACCAGTTTCTCACATTACATAAATCTTTCTAACACAGAAAAGCCCCCAGGAGGCAACACCATATAACTAAGGAAATAAACACAAATATGCCCAAGTGCAAGCAGATGGTGTTTAATTTCATTTAAGTATTTAGTTATTCATTCAACAAAATTAATTCCTTATTTTCCTAGTAACGTCTATCTTGGGGAGTCAGACCCTCAAGAAGCTTCCCATGTGATATGGAAGAAAAGAAAAATAATTATAATGGAAGGTTCACAAGTGCCAAGTCAAAAATTGTGGATAGTGTTACTGGTGGAGTTCAGAAAAAGTAGAGATCTCCTTTGGCCTCAAAAACACTTTAAAAAATGAATAACATGCATTCAAAAAAACGTTCAACGTTTGCCAGTGGGAGAATGAATAAATATTGGATATTTACACAGGGGAAATCTATACAGCAGAGGAAAAAAATGAATTAGGCATAAATGTGGAGTAAAAAAAAGCAAGCCGTAGATATGATATTGTATAATGCAATTTGGGTCAAGTTTGGAAAAGTACAAAATACTGAACAAGAACAGTAGATACTAAATTCCACTGATTATCTCCAAGTTTCAGGAGTTATATGGTGGTGGTGGAAGTGGACAAGAAGTGGCAGAATGCCATAAAGGAAGGGACACGGATTTTACTACATTGTTATGTTTCTTAAAATGAGGTGTGAGCACACAGATAGTTGTTACATTGGTTTTAAATATTTCGTAATACATACAAAAATCGTATTGCTCTCTTCTCGTCCCAAAGGGGCTGATAACAAAAACAAATGATTTAGTCTGGCTAGAACATAAAAGTCTTTGGGGGAGGATACATGCTTTAGAAGTTTCCTGAATCAAGACATATATATATTCTTGATTAAACAAATGTACTGTTTTCAACTTTGTATTGAGAAATAATTTTAGACTTACAAAAAGGGGGCAAAAAATAATAGTAGGTTCCTGTACATCCTTCACCCAGCTTCCCCTCATGTCAACATCTTAGATAATCATAGAACAATTATAAAAAGTAATAAATTAACAATGTTACAATACAATAATAGTAACTACTAGTAACTAAACTACACTATTTGGATTTTTCCTATTTTTCCACTAATGTTCTTTTTCTGGTTCAGGATCCAATCCTGGATCCCATGTTGCATTTAGTTGTCATGGCTCCTCAGTTTCCTCTCATCTGTGATAGTTCTTCAGTTTTTCCTTGTCTTTTATGACCTTGACACTTCTGAAAGATCATGGTCAGATATTTTGAAGAATGACTCACTGTAGAGCTAGGGCTGGGGTCTCTGGTGCTCACAGACCCCTCGAACCCATTCACAAACCCTTCACACACAGGTCTATGAGCTAGGTAACTGGCAAAAAGGTCCTTGGAGCCTTGGTTGAAGAAGGAATAGTCTTTATTCAGCACACACAACACTGTGAGCTAGGCAGTACAAAGAGAAACTCAGAAACTCAATTGCTATGGGCAAAGTCCAAAGAAAAACTGAAACTGAGCAGCTACCAGCAGAGTAAACATGCTCTATTGTCAGGCTCGAGCTCTCTGCCGCCAGCCTGCTTCACAAACTGCAGAACACACAATAGCTACAAAACCAAAAAGATACATTGGCACACATACACACTAACTCCACACATGTACAGCTTGTTTACAAGAAATGTGTTGCTCAACCCCTCAGCCAGACCTGAGCCAAGGGAGCCTGACTAAATTATTCTATTCTCCCCACACTCACAATTTGGGCTTGTCTGATGTTTTCTCTTGGATAGATTGAGTTTATGCATTATTGGGAAGAATACCACAGAAGCAATGCATCCTTCTCCATGCATGATCTCAGGGGCTACATTACGTTGACTGATCTGTTTACTGATGTTGACCTTGATCACTTGAATAAGGTCAGGTCTGTAGGGTTTCTCCCCAGCTCAGCTACTATTTTCCCTTTGTAATGTATATCTTGTAGGAGATACTTTAAGACTATGCTCATGTCCTGTTTCTCCTCAAGGTTTTTGTCCCTCACATTTTTGCATCTATCTGAGTGTTGTCTGTAGCAAACACTGTGGTGTTCTGGTGGTGTGCTGATTCTTAAATACATTACTGCATACTTAGACCTTACTGATACAATGACATTCTTCATTTACTCTTTTCCTCGATAATGAAAACTACATAGCTGCACAGGAAACACCTTTGAAAACAAAAATCTTCAAAGAGTGGGTAGCTATTCTTAGTATAAATTCCCCACAGTCTGATTATGAAGTACAAAACAGAGGTAAACAAAAGAGGGGACAAAAGAGGGCAAATTAAAGAGCTACAAAGGGATAGGCCTAAGCCAGGCAAAAGGAGCCCTCCATTCCCATCAGCTGTCAGTAACTGGGACCAACCTGACTCTGTTGCACCGTGGGAACCTCCCTCTTGCTGCCAGAAGGCCAGTCTGTAGCACTGTAAAGAGTTAAGTGTCCACTGGTAGGAAGATAAGGAAAATGGGCTATATTGCAAGGAGTGGGAGAAAAGGGTAAAGGGGAGAATGGTATTGAATGTTCCTTCAGGGGTTGCCTGAGCATCAGATCCAGGTTTTTAGGAAGTAGCCCCAACTCCTGCCATTCAAAGTGAAAAATCATCAGTGTTTTTGAAGAATGATAGCAAATAACCACTTTCCATAATTAAATGTAGCTATAATCTTTACAAAGGTGCTCCAAATTAATGATTCTGACAATACTGTTTGCAAATAACTGGTGGACCCCAAAATGCTCCAAGGATTCTAGCTTCACCCATTGCCTAGCAACACTGCAATG